TCCCCTACTAGTCGTAGGTCCTCCCATAGCTCCCGATGGTCCTCCTCCGTTCAGCATTGGACAAGAGGGTTTGAGGTGGCTCGTGCTACCGCATTTGAAGCACCGGGGTGGTTCATTGCACCCCCCCCCCCCCCGTGGTTCTTACTGTAGTTTGCGCACCTTGGTGGTCCCACACCCCCTGGTTTGGGCCATTGCCCTCCTGAGCTGGTGGTGCCGGTGTTGCCGGTGGTGCCGGTGCCCTGATAGTATTGCCACCCCCGGCGTGATGCTTCCGAGAGTGGTCTTGGGGTCCAGAGTTTCCCCATATCCTCTTCTTCACCTCCTCGGCGTCTCTCGCCTTCCTTTCATTCCATTGGGTTTCCCCAAGGAGCCCTTGATCGACAACTTGGCTAAATGTCATGTTATGCTGATAAGAAGCCCGGTCGCGGATGTCCAACTGTAGAGCATCCCAAAAATGATTGGCCATTCGATTCTCATCCAAAGAGTACTCTGGTATGAATCGTGCCAAGTCTCGGAACCTCTGTTCCAATTGTCTCACCAAGCAACCATCCTCCTATTTCAGATTCGTGTACTCTCTCCTCTTGAGATTGACTTCAAAAGTCGAGTAGTACTGGTTATAGAACTCCACTTCGAATTTCTCCCAAGTGGCCTCACCATGGAACTTTCCTTCCATGCCTTCCCACCATACAGCAGCTACCCCGTCCAGTAGCCTGGTGGCAACCCTCAACTTCACGTCGAGCCCAATTTGCATATCCCTAGAAGCATCATTCAGCTTCTTAATCCAGTTGGCGGCCTCAGATATGTCACTCTTGCCATCAAATGATTTGCACCCCAAGGCCCTAGCCTCCTTGAGGTACTTGGAGATACGTACCATCGTGTCTCCTCCAAATGCTCTAGATGGAGTACTAGAAGCTCCCCGGCTTCCCTGTCCCATGGCCTGCCTAGCCTGCCTAGCTCGGCGCCGCTGTTCTCTCCTTGCCTTGTTCTCGAGGTACCATTCTAGTACCTCACTCATACGATCATAATGAGGATCGTCATCCTCATCTTCTTCATCAAAGTCCTCCCCGTTGTACGGGGTCTCCTCTTGCTCCGTGCTTGGAGCATATGTGAAATCGTCCGGTTCGGTGGCCCAAGAGGGGTGCACAGAACCGACACGCGTGCTACTTGCCGTCGGCGTTGTAGAATGCCCACGACCCCTGCCTCGGCCTCCTCCTCGGCCTTGGCCCCGGCCTCTACCCCTAGAGGTCTGTGATTCAGCCCGTGTATCGTGCTCGGTGGCCCCCGGTGCACGACCCGTCGGGTTCCTCCTAGTAATCCTGCATCCACCCTCCATTTTTGAAAGAAATAAGGAATGAGTCATTAGACTCGTTTTAATGTCAATTGACGGATTATTACAAAAGACACCACTTGGTCCAACATTATGGCCAACAAACTGTTAAGGGTACCGTCTTAACAATAAGAGGCCAATAACTTGGTTTCCAACGGTTCCTTAGGTACAAAAACTTTCTGCTCATGGTTTTGTTCAAAACTTTTCGATGGTAAGGTATTGAGATGTTAATTATATAGTTTAGAAATCGATGGCTCTGATACCACTTAATTGTCACGCCCCAGACCGCATCCGGGCCACGTAGACAACCGCCGTACAACCTGATAAGAATAACACAAGTTCATCCCTATTGAATTGTACAAGGCGTCCGATTGATTCTATTACCAAACCGATTAGTAAACACATACAATCAACATCGATATTATAATCAAACAAATGCGGAAAGAATAATATGTTTGATACTTAGCCACACGTGGCAAACACGGGCACGCAGGCCCCCAACTGTTTTAAAGAAAACAATGTTCGAAAATCCATGAGCAGTTTATAAATTTGAAATAAGAATGGAAGCACGAACCACGTCTTCCTTCTTGATCAATCACCCTAGGCAAAGGGACAGGTAGTAGGACTCTATCCTTAACCTGAAAAATGTGAGGGCCCCCGAAGGGGTCAGTACTCCATAGAAGTACTAGTGACAAGCAGGCTATATGAAGAATAACTAATGTTTCAGACACGAGACCCAAAAATAAGGTGATATATATATATATATATATATATATATATACATATATATATATATATGTGTGTGTGTGTGTGTGTGTGACTCATCCACCCGATGATACATACTGTATATATATTTGTAAAATACTCAACCCGTAGGTCATTTCATTTAAAGAGTCTTTTAGAGATAAAGTTCTTACCTGACTTTTCTCACTCCTTCCCTGAATGCCTAGCTCACAAGCTACATTCTACATTCATAATATCCTACCGAGTTTTGGGAGCGTTTAGCATCCCGGGGATACTCAACCCCAACCGAGTTTCAGGATCATTTACCGTCCCGGGGATACTCAACCCCAACCGAGTTTCAGGATCATTTACAGTCCTGTGGATACTCAACCCCAACCGAGTTTCAGGATCATTTACAGCCCCGGGGATGCTCAACCCCAACCGACTTTCAGGATCATTTACAGTCCAGGGGATGCTCAACCCCAACCGAGTTTCAGGATCATTTACCGTCCCGAGGATACTCAACCCCAAACTTATTCCTTACCAAACCCTAACCTGGATATGGCTAACCTTTCATTCCTTTAACTATGAACAATACCTAGCCCTATAGTCATATAACCATCCTTAGGAACCAACGTGGGCGGGTCCCACCTGAACGACCCACATTAACCCGCTCAAAACTGCCCGTTTTGAGCATAACCCAATACTCGATCGAGTACCCACCTATACTCGGTCGAGTACAGGAGACAGTAGTCCGTAAGGCCAATTTTTGGTGTATACTCGATCGAGTACCTACCCATACTCGATCAGGTATAGAAGACAGTTTGACTTAGCGGTCAACGCCCGTTTGACCGCCCAAACGGAGTCCGATTAACGTGAAATTTTATATACATGTACTTCTTGACGTCCTTGATCCAAAAATACCATTTTGGATCCCTGGAACATCACACATAATAAGTTATCACATTTTTAATCACCAAACCTACATAACATACTTTTCAACTATGTTTTATGTATAATCATGGCATAAGCAAACACTTGGTTATCTTTAATCATTCCATAAAACATATACTTGATTACTTTAGATAATATCTTGCCTCACGCAAAAGTTAAAGCATAAAGCCGTCTTCTCACCTTAATGAAGCTTATGAAGTTCTAGCCTTCCCAATTTAGCTCCGGTGAAACTCCGGCGAACTTCAACGAACTCCGGCGACAACTCCGGTGACCCTTTCAACTCCGTGATAGTTCCTTGAATACCTTAGACAAGCTACTAACAAGGTTTTATCATCATAAAACCCATAGTAATACAAATAACCTCAAAAAGGTTATTTTCCGGTGAACCGGTCACTTGGGCTCCTAAGTCCGTTCTTGGACTTAGAATTACCTTCCAACCCCTCATTCAACACTTCCAAACGTGTAGAACAATCCTAGGGTGTGAAATATGATTGAATAATCATATAATAGGATTGAAGAACAAGAAATGGGATTAATGGAGTCATTACCTTGAGCACCTCAAGTTTTTTCCTTTCCAAAGCCAACTTTTCTCTTCTCTTTTCCCCTCCTTCTTCCTCCTTAGCTCAAGTGCGTGAATGGTGGATGTTGTGAAGTGTTTTCATAGCTTCTATATCAAAAATGGATGGGTTGGCCGAGCTGGAGGGTTAGGTTGATGATTGAGAATGCATATTTGGCATTTCTCACAATCATGTTAAGAGAGGGTCCACTCCATTTATTTGCTTGGTCTCCAATCAGTTCATGTTTGTCTCTCCCCCTACTATTGAGCGGCTCCCCTTGACCTTTGAAGCACCAAATTCGTGGTGTGACCCCCACTCATGTGGGAGGTCATCCCTTTATGTCCCCAAGTGTACAATCGGTCCCGAAAGTTGTATTTTCCGAACTGTTTTAATTACATTTTATTTTATCGGGTCAAATAAATATAACACTTGTTCCCAATCCTTATTGGACCTTAAAAGGAATATGTACTCCTCAACTTTAATTTAGAGGTCTCCTAAATCCCTTTTTGGGCTGTTATCTGATAAATTGCCGGTACTGATAATTTCGCCCTGTTTGACCAACCGGTCAACCCTATGCCATTGCCATGGCCCAATTAGGATATCCACCATCATATACATATTATCTAGGCCAAGATTAATATAATATGGGTTCCCGAAAGTACCGGGCGGCCCCACGTGAATTTTACTATTCACGTAAAAGAAATGATAAAAAATTTACAATCACGTAAAAATGTGTTTATTCATTTCTCAGGGTTCAATACATAATTTGATAAAGTAAAAATACTTGGGGGTGGTGTTACATGATATCTATGTGATGGACTGGGCATGACGACTAGATTGAAGAGTAAGTTTTATTGAACAACGGTTAGGTCTTGACTATCGTTTGACATAAAGTGTTGGACAGTGAGACAACGCCACATTCAAAAGACTTTCTAAGGAATGAGACAATTAGGCTAAAAGTGAGAGTACCGCCTAGGCGCCTATTGAAGATAAGATGCGAGAGCCTCGGTTATGGTTGTTTAAACATGTGTGTAGAAGACCGAGTGATGCACATAATAGATTAATTGGAAGGTGGTGAGAGGAGGCGGAGAGGAGAGGGAGGAAAAAACCCAGATAAACGTGAATTAGAGTGGTCAAGAACGCTATAGTTCTTGAATTAGACGAGAGAATGACTTTGGAGAAGGCGAAGTGGAAGACGAGTATACTTGTGGAGAATTGACCTGATTTTGTGTCTCTCTTTTCCCTTTTTAAATCGGGATGTTGGAAGGCAACTAGTCAGATTGCTCAAGACCGGGAATTTGCTAGACTGTTTTTTTTAAAAGAACAAAAGCAAAACAACCAAATTTAGAATTCATAAAATAAAGTATTAAACTTTCAAACTGAAAAATAAAACATAATTAGATTTTAGGTATCTAGAGTAATAGAGTATAAACTATATTTTGGAAGCGAATGCACCCAGCCTGACTGGATGGAGATGCAATGTTTGCTGCTCATTGGCTCCACACTATCATCTTCACAAAGTTATACTTCGTTCAAGCTGCAATTACTTTCATTCACTATTCAGATCAGGAATGCAAGAAAGGTACAACTCCTTGCACGACTAATACAGTGAATGCTTACTCGTAACACCGTCCCCAACCATATTTACTTTTAGTAAATTATGTAATAAACCTTGAAGAATGAATTATGAATTTGAGAAGTTGTAAATTTTTATTATTTCTTTTACGTGAATAGTAAATTGCATGTGGGGCCCACATCGGGAGCGGGGATCGCCCGATAATTCCAGAATCACATATTATATTCATCTTGATCTATATAATATGTATATGGTAGTGGATATTTAGTTAGGCCATAAAAAGGGCATAGAGTTGACCCCATTGGTCTAACGAGGTCCAATTACCGGTATTGGTAATTTATCAGATAATAGCCCGAAATGAATTTCGGAGACTTTTAAATTTAAGTTGGGGAATGTACATCTATTCTAAAGGCCTATAATGATTAGGAACGTGTGATATATTTTATTTGGCCCGATAAAATAAAATATAATTAAAATAGTCTGAGAAATAAAACTTTCGAGACCGATTGTACACTTCTGGACTCAAAGGGGTGACCTGCCACATGTGTGAGGTCCAACCCACGTTTTTAAGTCTCACATTGACAATAGTAGGCCGCACAACATGGGTTGGTGTGAGATGGAGTGAAAGATTTGAGAACAAGAATGAGTGTGGACCTCACTCAGTCTCATAATTGCCAAATAAGACAAAGAGAGGCTCTCCTACCTTTTTCCTATGCATTATTCCGACCAAAGCATCAAAGAAGAGAAAGAGAGAGCGCCAAGACCAGCCTCCAATCTCCATTGTTGCAGCTCGAGCTCAAGCAAGGATGTTTCACAAGAAGGAAATTTAAGAAGGAAATAGTGAGGAAAAACTTGGATAATTAAGGTAATGACCTTATAATAACTTTTCCTCTACTTTTTAATTATCATATGTGTTGGTCCCGGTTGCACTGGATACAGTCTAGAGGGGGGTGAATAGACTGTATTGGTTTTTAACTTTTTCAAGCTAAGTACCAGATTTAACAGAATAGCCTGTTCTGTTGGCAGAACAGACTGGCAGCGGATGGGGTTCTGGTAAGGAGTTCTGTTAATAACCTCAGAGAAGCAAAGGCAGTAGGCCTTCTGTTAACTCACAAGACCAGTTCTGCTGAACACAGATACCAAGTCTTTGGAGTCAAACAGTTCAAGTAAAAACTATGAATGAAAAGCAGTAAGTAGATGACACCAGGGCTTTTTATAGTGGTTCAAGGAACAACTTGTTCCTCTAGTCCACTGTTCCACTAAGCTGTAAAAACTTCCGTTTACAATGCCTTAGCCCTATCACTTAAGAAGCTCTCCACGTCTTCTTCAAGTGTAGATGTCTCCTTGGATGCACTTCCGGCTTCCCTAAGACTGGTCCTTTCACTGAGCTTTCCAGAAGTATCACCACTTCACAGCTCCAGATACTTGGACGTCCTTCTTGTGAAAGAAGAGGTTCTATTTAGAACAGGGGTTCCTCCAACTAGCTTCGTTACAAAGAGTTTGTATGTGATGAGCTTGAAGAGTTGAAGAGCACTTGGAACTTTGCTTGAGTTGGAAATAAGTATTTTTCCAACTTCTGCCTTCTCTTGTAGAGGATGATGAAGTGTTAATCTCAAGGAGGCTTTTTGCTTTTAAGCGTTTGAATTTCTTATATGCAGAGTTGTAGCAAAGGTTAGCAAAAATTGCAAAAGTTATCCGGTTGTTCTTCGTAGTGTATCTTTTATACTGAGGTTGTCTTCCCGTTGGAGGAGAAGGAGGACAACTGCATTAAATGAGCGAGCAGTTGACTTGACCAGTAGGACCCGGTAAAGTTGACGGGTTACTATTTTGGGATAAAGTAATCCTAACATTGCGGCCAATCATCTGCAATTACTCTACGGAGCATGGGGAGCATTTAATGCGCGCACTGTAGCTTTTCCGTTCAATACTCCTAGCCGTTGAAGGAATCTTTCAGTTGATTTCCCGGGTTTGTGGAATTCTTCTAAGTGTCAGGCCTTCCGGTGTCTTTAACAGAGAGTTGATCAGAGAAGGTCTGGAGCACTTCTGTTGAGAATATATCCAACAGAAACCAGGAGGGTTTCTGTCAGAGTAAAGGCTAATAGAGACCCTGAGGTCTTCTGTTCTGAAGCAGAGAACCAAAGGTCCTCTGTTTAACAATGTCTTAAAAAGGGTCTTCTGCCCTTGGAGCCCTTCTGCTCAGAAGGTCTTCTGCTCTGGAGGCTTTCTGCCAAGTCGATTAAACTAAGAACTTTACAAATGAAAATTCTAATACATTAAGTCTAAAGAGGGGTACTCTAAAGTCCTAATTAATCTAGCATCATCAAAATCTAAATACAAATATTCCTTACAATTTCCCCCTTTTTGATGATGCCAAAACCCTTTAACTATTTCCAGAGAAGTGCCTTCACCATAAAAAGATTAAAGTTTAAAAACTTCCATTAAAATCTTGGTGGGCAACTTGGCATAGGAGAATAGTAAGAGTACAGTACATTCAGATTGCAGAAAATAAATGAAATAAGCAAACACAAACAGAAGGCAAAAAGACAGGAAATGAGGAAAAGCTCTTCAAAGTGAAAAGGCAGAGATGTGATTTTATTAGATAAGTTTTACAGAGATAATCCTTACACATTCTTCAAATTAGCTGCTTGCAGAGCTTCTTCCTCCAATCTTTGAAGTCTTAGCAGTTCTTCATTGATTTCTGCTCTGATCTTGGAAAGGTTGTCAGAGCTTTGATAAGATGCCCATATGGGAGAGAGCTTGCAGTCCAGATAGCTGAGAACACCTTCATTTATTGTCTTGCCTGGGACAATATTTTTCTTGTACCATTCTTCAGCTTCTTCTAAGGATCCCCCATACCTGACTCGCACAACACCATCTTTATCCAAATAGAGGTTCTGTTGTTGGGTGAGAGTCATTTTGACCTTCATTTCTTCAAATTGAGCTCTGTCAATTCTCTGGGATCCACCCAATCTCCATTCAGTGAAGCTAAAGACTTTCTTCTTCTTGGTGCCTTTCCTTACTTGAGATGGGGGTCTAGGTATACCTGCTGCTCTCTTCTTCTGTAAGGCAGCTTCAAAGTAAGGAGCAGGATCTACTCTAGGTTCAGCAGAGGATGGTGTTCTAGCAGGGGTTCTGTTGGATTGAGGCCTAGTCTGTTGAGGGTCCTCTTCCCCCTTTTTGGCATCATGTAGATCCTCTATCATCATGCTGATCTTCTGAAACTCTGAGGCCTGAGAGGAGGCAATCTGCTCAAGGGCCTCTGGTAGGGTCTGAGTGACAGAAGTAAGGCCTTCTATTAGACCTTGTTGCTTCTGAATGGCAGAGAAGATGTCCTTGTTGTTGGCTTCAAGCAGCACCATCTTTTGATATCTGTCTCTGTCAACAGAGAGGAGAAGTTGAGCTTGATCTTGGTGAGCTCTGCACAATTCCTCGATGGAGGTCAGTTGCCTCTCAGTTCTGGCATCAGATTTTTGCAGAGCCTCAAGATTCTCTGAGATTGTGTTGATTGTCTGTCCTTGATTTAGAAGTGTCTGTTGAAAGACAGAGAGGGTCTTGTGGATACCTACCACTTCTGTTGACAGAGCATCTGTTCTGGCAGAGGAGGAGGCCATGAAATTGTTGAGTGTGTGTGTGAGGTTCTCAAAGCGATCTGATATGAACTGCATTCCCGAATTGAGATTATCATTTACATGAGCAAGGTGCTCAAAATGCTTGTCATTGATCTGGATCAGCTTGTCCATGCCTTGGAGGATTTGTCCACCAAAGTCTTCTGCTGCTTCAACAAACTTGTTGAAGGGAATCTGATTCTCTTATCCATCAGATTGAGGCAGCTCTAAGCCTCTTCCCTTAGGCAGAGGTTGATGTTCTTGGACAGAGGAGAGAGATTGGACACGATGTTCATGCTCAAGTTGAGTCAGAGGAGGGGTCTTCTGTCTCTTAGAAGTAGCTTTGTATGACTTGCTGACCATGAATCCATCCATGTCAGAAGAATCTTCATATGAGGAGTATATTGGGATTCTGTTCCTGATTACCTTCTTCTTCTTCCGGAAGGAGAGATTGGGGGCAGTAGAATGCCTAGAATGACCTTGAGGTGCAGAGATGGGGGAGATAGTTGTAGGGTCAGAATCTCTGAGAAACCAGACAGGTTTAAGCTGAGCTGCAGGTTGGTGTGGTGGAGGTGATTCTTGTGGAGGAGCTTGATGTTCAGACTTGGAAGGTGAAGAGGATTTCTGTTGGGATGAGGAGTTCTGGTGCAGAGGTGTAGAATGGGGAGAAGAGTTGTTTTGATGAGGTGAGGTATTCTGTTGAGGAGGAGATGGTGGAGGTGAAGGGGAGCGATTTCTGAAGGGAATAATTGCTCTGCAAGGTGAGTTGTTTTTCTTTTTGGGAGAGTGAGCAGAGGTGGGGGTTTTCTGTTCAGGGGATTGAGGTTGAGGGTTTTCTGGTGGAGGGGTTTCTATGATAGTGAGAGGTGAGGGGATATGGGGTTCTGTTGAGATATTAACAGAATGGGTTGGAGAAATTACCTCAATGATGTTATCTTCAAGCAAAGAAGTCCTCCACTCCTTGATGTGTTCCATCATAGCTTGCCCTTCTGTCTTGGGTACAGAAGGCTCTCCCGGGTTGAAGTTTGGTTGAACAGATTCAGTTGCCATCTTGGTAAACAACCATTCTTCAAAAGCTTCTATTTCTCCATCTTCTAGAGGTTTGACTGTCTCCCCTGAGGGTGAGGAAATGAGGACAGCCTTTCCTTTGTAGCTTGCCTTCTTCTTTTCAAGAACAGAATGAAGAAAATTGAGGGCAAAGCATTTGGAGACATCATCAGTGCCTACCCAATGCAGGATGGCCTCTTCTTCTGGCTCATAGTGTTCAAAGTATTGGATGATTTTGTGGAGGGGTCCCATTCTCCACCTTCTCCATTCAAGGATCCGGGCAAACTGTCTGTCTAGCAAGGACAGATACCCTTCTTTGACAGGACTGGGGTGCTCTGTTGGAGTTGTCACCCT